ATTTTTTTTTAATTATTATTTTCATATGACTGTTATTATTAAAATACTTAATAATACTTATCTAAAAACTTATAATTTAAAAACACTTAAAAATGTAAAACATAATTAATATTTTTATATGACTGTTATTGTTAAAATACTTAATAATTAGTTAACCAAAAACTTATAATTTAAAAACACTTAAAAAAATGAGAAACAAAATATTTCCTTTATCAAAATAACTAAAAATTTGTAAACGAAAAAAACTTATATTGTAAAAATACTTGACAATAATAATAAAAATGATAATGATAATATTATTATTATTAATAATAATAATAACAATAATATAAGACACTTAAATTTGTAAACGAAATAAAATAACCTAAAATTTGTTAAATAAAATAATTATATTGTAAAAGTATTGTATAGCTTATTAAAATACTTATTAAATTTTTAAAAAATACTTGCAACAAACAAACTAGTTATATTTAAAAATAATTGAAATTAACTAAATATAAATAAGTTTATAGTAAATAAATTAAATAATAAATAAATAAGTAATAAAATAGCTAATAATTAATTAAATTATATTAAACCTGTAAAATATTGACTTAAGCCTTATTATAATATTATTATACCGACGGCTTGTAAAATAAATAAATAAAAATAAATAACTTTTTAAAATCGGACGCTCCGTTCTCCTAAAAACTGAGTTATCCTTTTTGCCCCGTATCTTCGGAACGGCTAGACCTGCCTTCGCCTAAAACTAATCAGCACGTCTCCTTATCAATATGAATCGAATGTTTTTTCAATTATTCAAATAGGTTGATCGGTATTCCCGAAACCGTCGAAAATTTGTATCCGCACACACATACACACATACACACACACATACATCCATTTTTTCTAAGGTATGCAAAAATATTCAGAAACCTTTGAAACGTAAAGATATATAAAAATTTTCAATTTCGATTTTTTTGCGATTACTATAACTTGCCCTACGGGAAGTTAAAAGTTCATTATAATACAAAAATTATTTAATTTTTAAGTTTTTAAATTATATTTTTATGTTAATTTACATTAATATCAATATCCGGACATTTTTTGTAATAAACAAATGCAAGAAAACAATATCGAGTAACTAAGATGATTCGATTCAATTCGGATCATCCTAGCGACCTTATCTTTCGAATAAGTCGATTGAATTTGGTTGGCCCGCCCGCCAGTTTTTTTTTTCTACACCTGTAGAAATATCAATAAATTACGAGAACTTCTGAAATAAAATATTTTAAAAATTAGTTATGAAGCTCGCATTATATCAAATGTATCAACACTTCCAGCTTATATATATATATATATATATATATATATATATATATATATATATATATATATATATATAAGAGGATCGCTTAAGTGACAACACTCATAACTCACGAACGGCTGAACCGATTTAGATGAAAATTGACATGGAGGTAGTTTAGAGCCAGGAGAAACATATGTAATACTTTTAATCCCGTTTTTTCATTCTAATTCAAAATTAATTATTTATGAATTTTAACTATGAACTATTAACTATTAACTATTTAATTATTAACCATTAACTATTTAATCATTAACTATTACCTATTTAACTATTCTTAATTCACTATTTACTAACAACTATTCAATATTTGCTATTATCTATTTACTATTTACTATTAACTATTCAGTTATCACTATTCACTATTTACTATTTTACTATTGAACTATTAATTATTCTTTATTTACTATTAACTATTCAGTTATCACTATTCACTATTTACTATTAACTATTCAGTTATCACTATTCACTATTTACTATTAACTATTCAGTTTTCACTATTCACTATTTACTATTAACTATTCAGTTTTCACTATTCACTATTTACTATTAACTTTTCAGTTTTCACTATTCACTATTTACTATTAACTATTCAGTTATCACTATTCACTATTTACTATTCACTATTCAGTTATCATTATTCACTATTCACTATTTTACTATTCAACTATTCAGTTATCACTATTCACTATTCACTAATAACTATTTACTAATAACTATTCACCATTAACTATGTAACTATTTACTATTTCACTATTTACTTTTTAACTATTAACTAGTTACGTAAACTATTAACTATTTACCTATAACTATTGAACTATTAACTATTCACTATTTAACTATTCGCTATTCACTATTTAACTATTCTCAATTCACTATTTACTATTTTATTAACAATTAACTATTTAATATTAATTATTCACTATACACTATATTACTACTTTACTATAACAAATTAGTGCGCATGCGCCAAATACGCAAGATGTTCATGAGACCGATCCAAGTACGCACGTATACCATTATTTTAAATTGATTGTTTGAGAACTCCACATTCACCTAGCGTTTTGGGGAATGTGCACATTCACCAAGAGTGCACATTTGCCGTAAAACACACACACACACACATATAACAAATGTATTCTGAGTGGATAATAAAATGGAGCTTATAAAGTAGACGACGTATATATATATATATATATATATATATATATATATATATATATATATATATATATATATAAACGTCGTCTACTTTATAAGCTCTTATAATTTGTTTATAAAATACGAATAGTAAAATATTTAAAACCATTGGTCAATTATTGTTTATTATTGATTATTTTTTCCTCGAATGTTTTATTACAACACGAGAAGATCCAGCAATATTAGTGCAGTAAACGGAGAGGAAAAAATGGTATAACCTCTGAATTTTTTTACTGTGCTCCGAATTGAATGAAATTTTGGAATTAGGTTCATCTTACCCTTAAGTTCAAAGGTGAAAACAATTCGGGTTGCACCATCACCCCCCGGAGGGATGACACCCCTTCTCAATTGTGTAATTACTCCCGATTTTATAAAAACTTTTTTTTCCATTTTTTTTAAAAATCAAAATTATTTTCATTATATCTCAATAAGAATAGAAGATATGTATAAAAGCATATAGATAAAAATCAAAGGAATTTTTCTGGCTTATTATTTTATTTTTTTTAACTTCCCGTAGGGTAAGTTATAGTAATCGCAAAAAAATCGAAAATGAAAATTTTTATATATCTTTACGTTTCAGAGGTTTCTGAATATTTTGGCATACCTTAGAAAAAATGGATGTATGTGTGTGTGTGTGTGTGTGTGTATGTATGTATGTATGTATGTATGTATGTATGTATGTATGTATGTACGTGTGTGTATGTATGTGCGGATACAAATTTTCGTCGACGATTTCGGGAACACGGATCAACCGATTTGAATAATTCAAAACACATTCGATTCGTATTGATAAGGAGACGTGCTGATTAGTTTTTGGCGAAGTCAGGTCTAGCCGTTCCAAAGATACGGGGCAAAAAGTGCCGAAAACGGTAACTCAGTTTTTAAGAGAACGGAGCGTCCGATTTTAATAATTCAAAAAACATTTTACTTGTATTGATAAGGTGAAGAACCGATCAAATTTTCATAAAGGCAGGTCCAGCGGTCTCGGAGATCTAATGAAAAAAGTAAAAAAAAATGCCATTTGGCGGTCAAAAATGATCATTAGACATATGCACATCAAATTATGAGATATTTTATAGAGATTTTAACAATAAGTATAATTTTGGCTTACATTCCTATGGGTTCCGTACCAATGTTTACGCGTTAGACGTCGACGCGGCGCTTACGCGGTTTGATATTTCGTCTTTATGCAGTTAAAGCAGTACGATTGCTTTGAAAAAAAGTTTAGATCTTTCAAAATATGTCAAAATAAAGAAAACATTTTTTTTCAAAAAAAAAAATTAAAAAAAAAAAATTAAAAAAATTTTTTTCTTTTTCAAAAAAAAGTAATTTGTTAAAAGTAAAAAGTAATTGTTTGTCAAAAATCTTATTTTTTCGAAGTAAATTTTTTTCAAAAATGTTAATCGTTTTTAAAAAAATTATAATTTTTGGTACGGGAAGTTCCAGCAATTTGCCTTGAGGCACGATGCCTTAATTGCCTTAAGACAGAATTCCACTCACAGCTAGTTTCACACGAAAATTGACAGAGTTATGAATGTTTAAAGACTGCGCGGCCGCGCAAATTGGAAAAAAAAGTTTTTATAAAATCGTGAGTTTTCTGAAATTAGTTTGTACTAAAGTAGTGAATCTGCTAGAATCCATCAAGATGTCTATAATGAAGTGAATTCTAGATGGAATGTGAATTACTTTAATTCTGGTGGAAACGGCGCTTATTAAACCACATGATTCAAAAGAAAAAAACATCGTATATGCTTCTTATTTGCATGATATCTCACTCATTTTACACGCAAAAAAACTCGTAACAGCACTCATTTTAAAGCTTATGTTGAGTACTATAAAACCCAATTTTCCTGAGATGCATAAAATGTAAAATCTCGACACTAGATGGCTTTTAATATTATACAACAATTAAATCTTAAACGAAATAAAAAACGACTTTGCTCTTTCAAATCTTGCTTATTATTATTCCTAGAATACTTTATATTATACAGATTTATTAAGATTTTCATTGACATTATTTTGTTCATTACATGATTTTTGTTAAAAAGTATATTTTAGGAGATATTTGCAAAAAAACAAAGAAAAACGCCAAAAATATATGAATTTTTAGTGGCCAGTAACTTGAAAAGTATTAGTTTTTTTTGAAAAACTATAAGAGACATTTTTTTCTTATAATTAGTTTTTTTATCGATTTTCGACGTTATTTTGGAAAAATGTAATTACACAATTGAGAAGGGTGACATCCCCCCGGGGGGTGATGGCGGAACCCAAATTGTTTTCACTTTTGAACTTGAGGGTAAGATGAACCTAATTCCAAAATTTCATTCAATTCGGAGCACAGTAAAAAAATTCAGACCTAAAACGCTCCGTTTACTGCACTATATGCCTTTAGGAATAAAGCCTAATTACTAGTTTACGTTATTAAAATCTTTTTATGGATAACCTTATTACATAC